TTAGTTTGTTATGCGATATATTTTTATTCTGAATATGAATGTAATTTGACCTTTTTTCAATTGTTATAGTTTAAATAGTACCCAGTTGACTTCAATAGTTGCATTTGAATCGTATCCAGCTGACTCGGTTGGATAAATTGTATCCAGCTTAATTAGTTGGATTTAAATTGCACCAAACCGACTTCGCTGGATTTAAATCGTATGGATTTATATTGGATCAGCAGACTTTGATGGATTTTATTCCTATCCCGCTGACATAGTTGGATTTAAATCGTATCCAGCTGACTTAATTGGATTTAAATCGTATCCAGCTGACATACCCGGATTCAGTGAAATTATGAGTTTATATATTGGCACTTGAGGGCCAAGGTTAGGCGAGAGGACCTTAACAAATTCCTATCTGAGTTCGAATGCGTCTGCAAATGTTGTATATTGAACGTAAAATATATGATTGATTATTTGTTTATGATTGTATAAATTCTATGATGTTCATCATATCTCATGATTTTTGTGTCAGACCGAGGTAAATGGCATCAATATCTTCAATAAAGTTGTCAATGTATTGAAGTACAAGGTCCTTTTTGGTATGCACGCACCACGCTTTCAAAAGGTTGACCAGAATGATTTGCTACATGCCAATGTTACGTCATTTCTCTACATTTTGTGCGATTAAATTGCGTCGTAGTTTAGTGCAATTAGTTATATTTGTTATCTTCCAAGTGATCACCGTGGCCGGATTTTTTATATTTACAATATAATTTCTTTCGCAATGTAGTCGATTTTGTTCAATTATAATGGAGGTTTACAATTTATCCTTTACTATACTACACGTTCGCAAAAATCCGTAAACGTCCCGACATCAGTTGGCCATTGATTCAATATACATGTACAAATGTATATGCATTTTATCACATATATTGGTGATACAATGTTACAGTAGTATATGAATGAAGTGTGTGATAAAAAAGACACGTTGTCAAGCATAATATACTGAAATAAGATAACACTAGTATATGGGTAATACGATTCTAGTTTAAAAATCGAGTCCATTGAGCTATTGGTGGAGAAATTTAACTGTGGAGGAAAATTATTGTTCGTATGATCAATTGGTATTTGTAGTTTGTAGGTCTTCAGTCAAAACAGTGTCAAAATATTTATATCCATAAAACTTCATTATAATAGTTTTTTGTTGTTTCATTGGTACGTAATGCTAACTTTAACTTTAACTTTATTGACATTATTCATTTTTAATAGAACATAGTCCAATCTATAACTAAATAACAATTCCTAAATACATAAACAAAAACATACTAAAACAGTTTAACAAAAGGGCTTGAAAAAAATCAGGGAATTGATAATTACTGTTATGATGAAGTCCGTTGATCTATAGTTTCGACAAAATCTTCACTGATTTAGATGAATAGTGTCACATATCACAAATATATATCCATGCGTTTTCCGAAGTATATCGTTGCCTAGAAACACGAATTCAAATCAGTGTATTATGTAATTATACATTCTCTGTCGATTTCGCATACTAGTACTTAGTTTCCTCCACAAACACATTGGCATGTATTTAAAGGGCGGCAGTCGTCGTGCCGCGTCCTGTTCGATATGGGACTCATAGCGGCGTATACAACGCGTGTAAAATACATTGTTTATTTACATGAAATTCGAACACGACAACGGCCTATTATTATTAATTTTGTGTTGTATATATATTTTATATACATACATTCATATTTCCAAACCACGCAAATTGTTATAATTCGGTTGTTACTAAAAACTAAATGAATAAAGATGACACAAAGGAGGGGCTGTAGAAACACCTACGTCTTTAGTATTGATTGAAATCTCAAATGGATATATGTATGTATGTGTATCAATTATTCAGCACCTTCTAGCTAGATAGGTGCGCCATCGTCGGACTGGGTGAGAGCGTTGTAAAATCATGTACTACGTGCTTTGTGAAAGTGAGAGTACATGGCGCCCTCACTGGAGGTGCTCGTTCGGTTTCACTGATTGACAGGTGAGGCGGGTCATGTGATCACTCCAGAGCGTGTAACGATACTGTCACTACTGGATCATGGCCGTGGTCTGGCTGTTTTTAGCTTTATTTGTAACACTTCACGCAGTAACTGCAGAGACAGGTAAGCGATAATTTAGTCAAGACGTGTGGTGTGTCGCTACATCGGTTTATTTTTGCATTTTAGTTTCATTCTCTTTGCCGTGTATTCACCTTTGCAAAGGCTCCGACGTCAGGGCGTGTTGCAAAATGGCGGCTACGAAGTCGAATGAATCAATTCCAAAAACGTTGATTACTCAACTTAATTGTTTTGTTTTGCGACCTCTACTGTGGCACACCCGGAAGTGTACATTATTTACGTCTGACCATGTCATTGCGGCGATGTCACTCCTTCAAATTTACGTGTTTGCTCGTGATATGGATGGAGGTCACTCAGTGACCGACCAGGTAGTTGCATTGGTACTATCATTTGCATAAAATTGAATGGGGACAGCGTCCTTGTTTTGAAATGCTAATTCAGTTCCACTTGGTGAATAAACTGAAAGCCATGTCACCAAACAGTTATTGACGCCACATTTCGGACCGAACTTGCACCGCCACCACGAACTGTTAGCGGGCACGCACTGACGCAGTCGACGGCTCTGAATAGAATCGTAAATAACAGTAGTCGCTGGCAATGTTATGGATAGGAAGTCAGGTTAAAAATAAACTGATCGTGTTTTATGAGACAGACTATTACTACAAAAGGTGAAAAACTGTTTCTAATGTGTGTATATATTACTTTGAACATGCAAGTGTTAGCCTACTGACTTGACAGGTCGTTTCTTGTGTATGGACTATACTAGATCCCACAACGTCACAACTATTTTCAGTACATTCTTAGAAGCATGCTGTTTTGAGTCGGTACTACGATGAGTACACAGATATATCTGTATATTTGAGATGATCCAATGGATGGATTCATAGTTCACACAGTATGGTGTGTAGGGCCAATGCAATTTGAGATCCTAAGCAGTTGACCTCTGCCCTCTTGGTGCAATATGGTACACAACAAAAACATATTGCTCATTGACTTCAATTCACATGTTTTGGCTGGTACTAGCTTAACCCTCTACAGCAACAAAACAAATATCAGTACACTGTACTAACCCATTTTATTGCAAACAAATATGTTTCTGTGTAGGAAATTATACTGTACAAGCAATTTTGCTTTGGTATAGACTAGGCGTAGTTAATGTCACTCAACAGGAACGGCATTTTTAGTTGCACAAAACATGAATACAATATTTTGGGATTATAAACTTGTAAATTGTGGGTTAGAAATTGGGGGGTGAAGTTTAATATGGATTTGGTTAAGTTTTGGTTTGAAGTTTGAAAAGTATTATTAACCCTTCAGTTTTCAAATTTTACAAAATTGTCATTTAATTTCATCCTTTTGAACCATATTAACAGTTTCAGATATTGCTTTTAATTTTTCATAAAAGTTTTGTCATTTGTTATCAATATTATTGGGAGGAACATACTATACAAAATCATGTAGATGGTAGAAAAAATTGAAAATTGCATGCAAAGGGTTAAATAATAATTTGCCAGTTAATGAGTTTTAATACATCAGTGTCTATGCTTATACCAAACTCCATACCCTCGTTTACAACATATATATTTACACCAATGACTGAAATTAAACTATAATGCTGTATTTCATCTATTAGTAGTGCATTTTTAAATGATGTGTATATAGTCAAAAAATCATTTTAATATTCTAGCACTTAATAAGTGTAATGTGATTTTTACTTTATGCTTTACGTTTGTCCACTTCTAGTAGAGCAAATGTTTTGCATGTGTAATTAACACGTTCACGGCCACAATATTTTTACCCCAGATGTTATCCACAGTTAGTATATGAATCCAATATAAGACTGACCAAGGAGCTGACAGAAAAAATTAAGTTTTCTTCCTAGGATTCTGTTTAACCGGAAAATAATAAATACATTTGATAAATTGATGCATATCATTCTATGCAGTTACCGGTATAGACCTTTACAAGGAAGTGCAACCATTATAAGTGTGCTTTTGGTAGTTTCCGATCAGTTTGTGTTTCAAGAATTAAAAAACAAGTATTTAAATTATCACAAGAGATTTCTGAGAGATTTTAATTGTGGCAATTGAACTTGTTTTATATGCATATGTCAAGCATTGCTATTTAACGTGTGCAGCACATATAAAAATACTGCTGTTTGATGAGATGCAGCTGTCTGCGGTACAGCTATAAAACAAAATATAAACCTTCTGCATCTACCATGCTTCATTAGAAGCCTTTGCCTGCATAGAAATGATGAAGGTACTCTCCATTTCTATTGAAATCCACTTATTTCTGGGTGTGTTTACTCGGTGCTTGAATCTAGAGTAGCCCAGCTAGTATTACCACTTGCAATTTACTACAACCATTTCGTTTCAATTGCTAATTAGATAATGCTGGCAAATTCTCAAAAGATAACAAAAAAATGCTCTCAAATTCTTTTTTTTTTCAATTGCTTCTAATGATTCAACTTCATTCACAGTTGACTTGCGTGACAATACAGTATTTGCTGTAATAAGGGAAACATGACAACTCATTGCAAAATAGAATACTGTAGAATACTTTATTTTCGCTTGGAATTCATTTTCGCCATTTTCGCTGAAGGGCTGTTTCCGTGAAAATAAAATCCAGCGAATATACTTTTTTTACTATATTTCACATTAAACTCATCAAAATCAGTG